CTAAATCATGGTAAATGACATGCCACATTTTCAATCTTTAATTGTAAATACTTCATGCGTCCATGCATGACATCCATGTTTGATCATACGTTAGACACAAAAACAGTTATAGTCATACTTTAGGAAAAGTCATAAGTTTTAGTATTATTGAGGTATTTTTCCCTTTGTTTTATCGTCAATCGAGCATCGTAAATCGTAATGGAACAATAATAGTGGAACGGAGGTAGTATATATTTTTTACACTTGTATATGTTCATCTATAAAAATAAAGAAGTGTTTGTATACAAAGATAACTTGAATGAGCAATGAGCATTTACAACCAAACGTGTACACAAAAACTATTCAAGAAAGAATGTGTTGAACTAAAGAGATAAATAAAAGGGAAATATCGAAATTAGTTAAGTAAAAATCCGTTAGAATAAATTAACATTGTCTCTCACTCTCCCTTACATTAAAAATGTCATACTACGTATTTAACAATGTAATAACTAAAAATGCGAAAATAAAACGTATCACAGTTTTGAGTAAAATAATTAATTCTCACATAATTTTAATAATATATATCCTGATGGTTATCTGAGTCGCTAATTGTGTGGCTGGTGGATTTTTTTAAGATAAATCTCACCGCCTCGAAAGTCAGTTGATGATTAGCCACATGTGCTGTCCTAATAGTTAATTAATTGATAATTATTATACAATATATACATTGATCGGTGATATGATGAGTCAAGTCTACCTGTCATATGCTTTGACATGGATGTGTGGGCACAGAAAATGCCGCAATCAACTTATCCTATTTTATGTAGCATTATTATATTATTACTCGATATAATACCTTTCTCCAAATTATCAATTAAATTTGATTGGTTGTGCTTAGGAACATGATAATTGTATGGTCCAAATTTGTTTAAGGAGAAATGAAAAATGTGAAGCAGCGGCGGAGCCACAAACACATCTAGGCGTCAAAATTTAGAGATGTGCAATATCAAAATGTGGATTGTTTTGAGGAAGTACCAAAATATTTCATATCTAAATGAGGTAAAAGTTAGTTTGAAATTTGAATGAGAGCCAGAGAAGGATTGAATTTTGTCAACTTTTCTTTTTGTTTGTCAACTTTATCATGTTTCTTTTAAAGCAATATATTTGACACGCTTTTCATTTCTCTTTTCTGTACAAATATCAACTCAATATTAAGTTGACAAAGATGAGTCATGAGACGGAGGTAATATATGTAATAATCTATACTCCGTAATATATACTTCACATAGCAATGAGTGAATAAGGCGGCAGATTAAAGTTGCTTTATTTTATTTTTTTTTGTAAAAAACAGGGTGAATAAGATGTTATTTTAAATTTGGAAATATCATCAACATCACACATCAAATTTCATCCATTTCAAATTTAGTTAATGTTGATTTTTCAGTAGTGGTAAAAATTGTTCCTTAAATAAAAATATGTGATAATGTAGAACATATAAGAAATAATATAGTTTAGAAAGAAATGGAGTATAGTAATGTGTAAAGGGGTCGGATTAGTTACTACTCTGTATTAGAAATAATTACATGTTTATGATTAAAATAAAGATTGTTTATAAAATTGTGACTAGTGATCTGAATAGAGTAGTAATAAAAATATAGTAACATATGTGATGGAGTATATGGCCCAGGAACCCCCGGCCCATAGACTCCTACTTCTCCTACACAAGTCCATTGAGCCCAGGGAACATCTCAAGCCCAAATGCAACGGCCCAAGCCTCAAATAAGCCCGGAATACACACTGGGGTGCCTTCGGCCTCCTTGGCCGAAGGCTCCAAAATTCACGGGATAGCTTTTTTAGGCATACGAAGCTACTGGGAGAAAACGGCGGAAAACAGGAGCCTTCGGCATCATCAAGCCCTCGGCATCAGAAAAGCCTTCGGCATCATCAAGCCCTCCGGTCGCACAGAGCCTTCGGCCACGCAGGGGTCCTCTGTTACATGGAGCCCTCGACTACACAAGGAGCCTTCGGCCAAACATGCTCAATCATCGAAAATTCCTTTTGGAGACAGCCAACCACCGCATTTAATGCAACGTCACATCCGCCAACCGCATTCAATGCGGTGAACGTACCACTGCCGGTGCCACCCGATTGATGTGACTCCTCGACCGTTGGATTATTGACACGTGTACTCTCATCGCATTTATTGCTGCTATAAATAGCAGCCCATTTCTCCCTATAAACGATCCCAGATCCAACTCTTACACGCTGAGTTCATTTAATAAAATCGACTCTCTCTCCTCCTATTTACTCTGACTTCTCTCTAGTTATTCCTGCAATAACCCTTCGGATAAGACACTCCCCGGGTGGACTGTCCATCAATATGTTCAATTGTTAAACTTAAGTTATCATAACACTACATTTTAGTAACTATTACTCATATTTGTGTAAATAAATTTTATTTTGATAATATTTTTGAAAAATTGTTAATATCATTCCCAAATGGACCATTCTTGGTGTACACAAGATGTACACAAAATGTGTACATTGTCTGTGTACACAGACAATTTGACATCAAGTCCTGCCCCTTTTAAAACGAATTGTCTGTGTACACAGACAACTAGGGGGGTTTTGTGTACAATTTGTGTACAACTTGTGTACACTAAGAATTTTCCTTCCCAAATATTGAATATAAAAGGAGCACCACAATCAGGATCGTTTTTTTGACATGTTCAAAAGTCATCTACAATAGCGCCCACCAAAATTGCCCCCCCCCCCCTCCCCGATTGTTTTTAATATTAATATAATACTACCTCCGTCCCATTTTATGTGTTTTAGTTTGACTTGACACGGTTATTAATGAAGTGATTGAAAAAGTAAAAGTTATGGTTGACATTTGAATATAATAAAGTGAAATGATGTTGGCTACATATTTCTTTCCAAAGGAGGAAAGGAGACACTTATTTTGGGACAACTCAAAAATGAAAGTAGGACAGGTAAAATGGGACGGAGGGAGTGTATAGTTACATTATATGTTATTAATATGTATATATTTTAAATCATGTCCTTTTCTATATGAACACTTGAACACAGTTAATTTTGTTAAACTGTGTTAGTTTGTTATTATATGTGATTTTTTTATTCATATATGTGGCCTCAATTTTGCATTTGAAACTGGGGTCTCCAAATTCCTAACACTCAATGTTGTAAATTATATTTCAAAATAAATAGATGTTGGAAATCCCTAATTTAACATTTTCCCACTTTCCTTATTTGGATGTCTCTAATTTAACTTTCCATTTCCTAAAATGACAAGTTATTTGCATCTAAACAGTGCAAAACAGTGTCAAAGCAGTAAAATTTACCCCCTGATAAGTTTATATCTGATCCTTAATATGTGTGTAGATCAAACCGGAAAGTTGTTTCGGGGACGGAGGAAGTATATAATAAATGTTCATAACATTTACTCTACAAATATAAGTCAAGATGTGATTGTTAGTGAAATGTGTTTTCATTTCAAAAGAAACTATAACAAATCATCTAAGATCCCATTTTCTAACCATACTTTTCATCTTATCAGACTTATCAATCATCTTTTTCATCAAACACATAATTTTTTATTTTGCACGCTGGATTGTGTAATAATAAGAAAAGTAAGGTTGATGTAACTTTTGTGCCTGTATTGGATGAAGTTACTTTAGAGAGTCATTTTAGCTATTTTTCATATAATCTTTTCTTTATTTTTATAATAAAAAATATTTTAAATATAAATTTTTCATAAATCAGCAGAATCAATCAATCCAGCTACTTCAGTCGGAACTTTGTAAATTTCAACATAATTAGCCGATTCAACCAATTTCATTGTTATCAAACGGGCTCTAAGACGTCAATAAAAGGTCAACTAAAGTTATTGAACTCATTCTATAATTTTATGACTCATAGAAATAAAACACCAATCATTCATAGACTTTGGGTTTATGGGTAAGCCCCCTTGATATGTAAATTATGTGTATCATCCCCACATAAATTAGAAATACATTAAAATCTCATGTCATGATAAGTCATATATGGGTTACTCTCGAAACAATCTAACGGTTGGATAGTGTTTTAACATTTAGATATCCAGATAAACTTACCTGCATATTTAATCATAATACTATGACATGTGCTTTCTAGGTGAAAACTGTCATTCTAAACTACTGCATGACACTAGTTATTAATAATTACTTCATTCGTTTCATTTTACATGTCGTAATTTTCAAAATGTGTCATTTTTCCCTTTTAGAAGCAAATATGTGGTTCAAAACATTTACTTTATTATACTCAATTTTAATCACAATTTTTTATTTTTTCAGCCACTATATTAAAAATTGTATCAAATCAAAACAACACACATAAAGTGAGACGGAAGTAGTATAATACTTCCTAAAAAAGATTTAAAGCATATGTTTAAATTACAATAATATCTTTTGCATAATCATTATGTTAAGATGAATTTCCCAAATTCTATGTGTCACTCATAATTACCCATTTTAAAGTAAAATTTTAGAAGTCATATATACTTCTATTGATATTTCCATCATTTTTAATGGAGGCAAAGACTCACTATTTTTTGGTTTGGGAATATGATGAAATAAAGCAAAATGACTCACTAAACTGTCTGCGCTTCTTTATTATGAAGTAACAGTCAGTCTATGCAATTTTCGACGCGTTTTTCACTATGGATCATTCGGAAACAGTCTTTTTAGTACAAACAATACCCCAATCGAACACTAGTAACTAGTACTACCTCCGTCCCATTTATATTGTCCCAGAAGAGGGTGACACGGTTATTAAGAAAAGTAGGTTTGTGTGGTTGATATTAATTGATAAAGTAAGAATAAAGTAAGAATGATTTAGAGCCACACAAAGTTTGCCAAATATGGTATGAGACAATTTAAGTGGGACTTCCCGAAAAGGTAAAACGGGACAATATAAATGGGACGGAGGGAGTAAGTACCAAGTATATATATTGTAGATATGTAGAAAAATGAATTAAAAATTGAGGATAAAAGAAAATGAATTGAGTTAAAAATTATACATAATCTCTCTCCCATTTCTTGCCAATTTATGATAGAATTTATCTGTCTAGCGCCGGTCTTTGTGGGTGTATATATATGCTCCGGAATCATTGAAGCATGTCCTGAATTCCAAATAAGCACTTCCAGCCCTCTGCTATTCGCGTACACCTTTTCTGTAGATCTTGAATTTCCTCAGCTGTGATCCTTCCTCCTCATCTGGTAAATCCAGCTACCCTGCTTATGTATATTGATGATGCTATGTTTCCGATTGCTTTAAGTTGAAGATCTTATTATACTCTTGTTTTTCATCCTCCCTTCTTAAAGTTTTTGTTGTTTCGTAATGTACACGTTCTATTGGACTGGTGTGATCGACAAGGCAATAGATTCTTCTTTGTGAGAACCAGAAGTTGCACTCTACACTTGCTGAGATTTACTTATCAATCTTTTCGGATCATCTCTTTCTGTAATGGATGGGTTAACAAAACAATTGGATATGTAAGCCAATGTTTATATTTGGGTTTTGTTTCATTTGATATCGACTGTCATGTTCAGGATGGAAATGGATCCTGGAAAATTGTTTGTTGGTGGCATTTCATGGGATACCAATGAAGGGCGACTCAAAGAGTATTTTCAGACATTTGGGGAAGTGGTCGAGGCGGTGATCGTCAAAGATCGGGCCACGGGCCGTGCCCGCGGTTTTGGTTTTGTTGTTTTCGAGGATTCTTCCGTTGCTGAAAGAGTTGTCAAAGAAAAACACATGATTGATGGCAGAACTGTAGGTGATTTAATCAAATTATTACTGTGCCGTTTTCTTCTAATCTTCTACGTGTGATTTTTTTGAACTCGTTAAGTGGCAGGGAAATGTCAAAAAATGCAAAGGTTAATCCATTTATATGTTTGGGTTTATCTCGGAAAATACTATGAAAATTTTGATTTCATCGTAACTTTTTAAGATTTTGCATATATGTATGAGTTCCCAGCAATCTTTTCCCCCTTATTTTTAAGTTCCTCAGCATTTCTAGAAATCCATACTGAAATGGTAGCTCACTGCACATTTAAGCTGATCAGATTGCTTCAGAAGTGTTATTATTATTATTATAGTACCAAGTAAGACTATAAGCATCTTATTTGTGACATGAAATGAGATGAAAAAAGACTACGTCCAAGCATTCTGATGCAGCAAAAGTACTTATTAAGATTATATTGATATAATTTTCTTTTAAGCACTTTTAACAAAGTGAATACGATTGGAACGCACTTCACCATTGAAAATGGCAAATAAGATTATTGGGAAAATGAGGTTTAGACAGTATGGAACTTTTTTAATGCTCGAGGTTTTTAATGTTTCTTGTCTATTATTTCCATTTTTTAGTCTTGAAAGTGAAGTTAACTTTAATCACTAATTTCATCACCAGGTAGAGGCAAAGAAGGCTGTTCCTAGAGATGAACAATGCATGAACAGAAATGTAGTAAATAATACACTTCCAGTTTCCACTGCGCAAACAAGAAAGATTTTTGTTGGAGGATTAGCATCGTCTGTGTCCGAGCGTGACTTTAAAAAGTATTTTGATCAATTTGGGACAGTAACTGATGTTGTGGTGATGTATGACCACAATACCCAAAGGCCAAGAGGATTTGGATTCATCACTTATGACTCCGAAGAGGCAGTGGATAGAGTTCTTCACAAACTGTTTCATGAACTTAATGGGAAAATGGTTGAGGTGAAGCGAGCTGTTCCTAAGGAGCTATCACCTGGACCGAACCGAAGTCCATTACCTGCTGGACCAAACAGAGTAAACACTTACCTAAACGGATATACTCTAGGTCAAGGTCTAAGTTCTCTAGCAGGTCATGGAACAAGAACCGATAGATATAGTCCAACCCCTGTTGGTCGTAGCGGATATTCATTGTTCGAACAGCCATACTCGAAATCTGGATATGGAGATACACAAAGTTACTTTAGCAGTCCGATTGGAAGTGGTTCTGTTTTGAACTCAACGGGTTGGAACTTGTGGGATAAAGAGAATCATAGTGGTGGATTTGTTGGCTTAGGAAGTCTGGGAACAATTTGGGGTTCCTCTTCTATTTCAAGCCAAACGGGCAGGAACTGTTCTTTTGGGAATGAGAACATAAATTACAATAGCGGAGGTAGTGATAGCTTTGGTAGTGGGAGAAGGTTTGCTCAAAAAGAAAATGTTTATAGTAGGGATTTGGGGGGCAACTTGTATGGGTCTGGGAATTGCTCGTTCTTTGACGACCCATTGCAGTATTCATCATCTCCAACAATTCAAGTTTCTGGTTCCTTTGGTTATGGGCTTAAAAGTTTATCCTCAGATGTCATAGTACCTAACACTCCTACCAATGGCCTTGGTGGTTATGGTGTTGCAAATAGATCAAGTAGAGGTAAATATATTTCCTCCACTCTTTCTGTTTGCTGCATAGTAACTATTTCGTTGCATGTGATCACTCTCATTATGTTTTTATGTTCAGTATTTTCATGACTCCTGGCTTCTGAGCATAAATTCATACGTTCAATCCCCTTAATTCACTATTTTGAAAGTGAAACTTTTTAAATAAAAATAGTGTAATTGAAGGTTGCAACAGGAAGGGCATCCAGCGAAAAAAATCACTACATTTTGTTTTTTGCATGACTAATTAATTCAATATGATTAATTGGCACCAGAAATTAAGGTAAATGCCATCCGTAGCTATTATGGCACTGCTTAAACAATCAAAAGTGGAAAGTTTTTACTGAAATGCAAATCAAATGTATTGAGATAAGTCACAAGTACAAGCTTCTTATGTTTCTGCTAAAGTTGCTCTATATTTTTACAGAAATTGCTGCCTAGATATAAGATGGAGAAAACCTTGGACATCAAATTCAATCAGAAAGTGGAGAGTATAGTTTGGATACAAGTGGAGAGTTGATTTGCTCAGTACCTTTCTTTTGAGCCCTTTTAAAACCTTTAGAGCTCTTTCTTTGACACAGTCTGAGAGGGACAAACATGAATAGCTTAAATATATAGTTGAAATGCGAAGCATTGTCACGCAAATGTGACAATTTCACCCAGTACTATGCACCGTGTATTGAAGGCATTGTAGAATTTTCCGATATGAAAATGATTTAACATTCTTATTATTTGGTTCTTGTACCTCTCTTTTTCTATATTGTATTGTATTTTGGGTGCAATGTCCAGCATTTTGTCCCGCTGCAAGTTTGTTGTTTTCATCCTTTCAGGCACTATTTTTTTCTTATACTCCATAATTATTTTGGGTTTTGCTTTTTATAACGACCCGTTTGCTGCTATAAACGCTACTATAATAAAATGGATTGATAACATGTTTCTAGTGATATTTAACCACTAGAAGTGCGCAACTAATGATGCTCATCCCAACTACTTTAAGGGCACTTTTGTAAAAAAAACGGAAATGCTATTGTTACACACTTTTCATACACACTTATACACACTCAAGTGTGGTTGAAAAAAAAAACCTACTTTAAGCACTAGGGTGGCCATTTTGGCAAAATCGTGTCCAACTTGTGTAAAGGAATTGTTTCAAATTTAGAAAATGGACAATTCAGTACATCAACTTGTATGAGTCAAAGTAAAGAGTACACCACATTGCATTTGATCTTTTTAAGTACATAAACTTGGTTTTTTAGCGTTAATTGAGCACACCCATTAGATTAACACGTTAATATGACTGAGTTGGCTAACACAATGCTAAGTAAGGAGTAATGGACCAAGGTAATGACCCGACCATCACGAAGTCGACCAAAAAAGGAAAATCAACTTTCAGAGGTCGACCTGCGCGCGGGGGGGGGGGGGGGGGGGTGGGGGGGGTCGGCCAACAGGGGTGTATCGACCAATGGGAAGTCGGCCTGCAGAGGATTGATGTCAACCAAGGGGCTGGCGTCGACTCTCAATAAGTCGACCTATTAGCATTCAGTTAGCCAACTCAACCTTATTAATGTGTTAATCTAACGAGTGTACTCAATTAATACTAAAAACCGAGTTTGTGTGCTTATAAAGATCAAATGCAAAATAGTATACTCTTTACTCCACCTCGTACAAGTTGATGTACTCAATTGATACTTACCTCGTTTCAAATTCTATGACAAATATGTGCACATGATGAGGAATACCGCAACACATATATTACTAAGCGTCTGCTTGATAACCCCATTTTCAATTTATCAACTTTGTACATGATATCGAACCAAAAAGAAAAGAAGGATAAAAGAGATATAAGTAGTAAGAATGAATATGATAAAAAAAATTACAAAACAAAAAGGATAAAATGATAAAAACATAAGAAAGATAAAGAAGCAGAAAAAGAGGGATTAATCTTTCACATGAATATTCGCCCTTCACTTTTTCTCTCCAAAGTCATACTTTCATCCAATCCAGGAAGAAACATATCACTCGCATTCCTCTCATTCACGTCTGTTTGGATTTTTCACTCCCTCTCTCATTGCCTTTCCACATCTTTCAACTCATCTAACAAGGGCATTACTCGCTCTTCTACGCACATGACCAAATCACCTCAATCGAGTTTCCTGCATTTATCTTCTATAAATATTATCACTTTTTAACTGATTATCTCATCCCTCAAGTGGTCTTTTTTGGTATATCCATATATCAAACGCAACATGTGCAGCCCTGTCACACTTATCTTTTGATGTGACCTTGTTTAACCGCCCAACACTGTAACCCATACAATGACTATGCAGGTCTAATTGTTGTTCGATAAAATTAGCCCTTTAGTCTAGTCGGCATACCTTAAACACATGGAAACCCTGATGCACTCTTTCTTGTCATCCACTTTGTTCGGATTCTATGGACATCTCCATCTAGTTCACTGTCCTTCTGAATTATGAATGAAGTCCAAGTAAAGGAACATATCACAAACTGATATCTCTTTGCCACCAAAGGCAATCCCATTGTTACCACTACTTCTACCCTCACCAAACTTGCACTTCATATACTCAATCTTACTTCGACTCAGTTTATCTGTCTTTTAATTTTTTTTTAAACACGTAACTTTTGATATCTCAAGCTAAAAGTGTAATGATCTAAATAAGTAAGGTTGAAATTTCATATACTCAATCTTACTTCGACTCAGTTTATCTGTCTTTTATTTTTTTTCAAACACGTAACTTTTGATATCTCAAGCTAAAAGTGTAATGATCTAAATAAGTAAGGTCGAAATTATTGTTCGACTGAAGTTATTGTAGAAGACCATTTTTAGCTATTTTCATATGATTTTTTCGTTATTTTGTTAATATAATCTTTTTTATATATGGTTTTTCAATGATTCAAAAGATTCACCCAATAATTCAGCGACTTCAACTAGCAATTCGTCAATTTCAACAAATTCAATCAATTCAATCACTTTCAGTATTACCAAAAGAACTCGAAATAGTTTTCGTGAGTATTATTAAAATTAAGAAATAATATGGAGAAAAATTATAAAAATAAAATTCAAAAATAAAAATATGACTCCATTAACAGTGGCATTGAAGGTTTAGATTTAGTGATTTGTTGTGTCGTATGGCGATATTTTTTTCCCTTGGATAACATCAAATTATATGTTCAGGTAAACACCTACTATACAATGAATATTGGTCCAATAAGGTCAATTTCAAATTGTTTTGCAGCTAATAAGCTTAATTAATATTAATCCAATCGTGGCTCAAGGCCTGCAAAATACATATATGAGGATTAGACAATCATATTTGACAGTCAGACAAAGAAACGGTTGCCCGAGCGAGCTCATGGGCAACACGATTCGTAGAGCGTCTAATAAAGGCAAAAGAAATGCTATTAAACTCTTAATTAAGTCCCTTACATCATCTACTAACAAACCAAATTTCTTAATTAAGTCCCTAATATCATCTACTAACAAACCAAATTGTGCTAGGCCTCCACCATTCTTGATCGCCGAAACAACTTCAAGGGCATCAGATTCAACTCCAGCAAGTCCCAACCATTCTCCTTTTGCCAACTCAGAGCTTCACGAACATCCAGGATCTCTGCTTCTTTTGGTGAAATTCCTCCCTGCCATGGCTGAGCTTCTGCTGCCACAAAAACACCATCAACATCTCGTGCCACCCAAGCAAGCCCGCGCCGTCCATTAGCCCCGGTAGCTGCGTCAATATTAACCTTCACCCGACTTGCTTTTGGCTTCCTCCACATCTACAGCAGCCTTGTTCCAAGCCGCTCCAGGGGCCCGCTGCCCATCTCTTGAGTTGTGCACCACCCTCAAAGAAAAGATCTGCCATAACCAAGGCCGGGATGAGTTTTGATGCTTTTGTTTGATTTTTATCAATTATTATTGATATTTTATGGTTATCTTCCATTTTAATGTTTAATTTTTAAATGGGAACACAATGCTACTTTTCACTTTGTTTTGTGTGTAGTAAGCTTTGACCAATTCAAATTTAATTTCACCCAAACTTAATACCTAAAGAACCTTGAAATTAAACAACTAACCACTTTGCATTCATTTTAGTGTTTTCATTGACACAATGTGTAACTAAGGTTTTGACATGTCTAATAATGAAAAGGCAAATAAATGTTGAGAAGCTGGAGAGAAAGAAAATGAAGCACTTACGCTCCTTCTGCTACAACTAAAGTATGAAAACTAAAACAAAAATTTAAAAATATATACAATTTATTTTACACATTCAGGTCCTTTCACTATCTAAATGGTTCTTTCCCTATGATAAAAAAATGGTTCTTTCCCTACTATCAAAAGATGGTTCTTTCCCTCATCAAGGAAGCTACAATATCAACATTTTTAGTTCATACATGTATTTAGTTGTATAAAGATTCTACGAAAAAGAATATATATTTACAAGATGGGAGATGATAAGAGAATAGTGTCCCTCCCAAATAATCATATTGAACAACACATGCCTTTCTTTTCTTTTCCTTTTGTAGCTTCTTTGTTTTCTTCATCATGCAAAACTAATGTTTTCCCACTTGCAAGCCGGTCAGAATCATCTTGTTTGAGCTCTTGAGATTGGATGACCTTGCGGCTCAAGATATTATAGATTTCCTTGACAATGGTTTGGAAGGCTGCCGATACGTTTGACGAGTTGAGTGCTGATGTTTCCATGAAGAACATACCCTCCACCTCAGCCAAGGCTTTGCCTTCGGCTATGGTTACTTCTCGGGCATCAATGAGATCTGATTTGTTCCCAACTAGTATTGTCACTACATTCATGTCATTGTGAGCTGTGTTCAACACAAATATTAATAAATACATAAAGCAAAGGAAAACATGAGATGTGTAAAAACTATTTCAAAAACCAACTTTATAAGAACAAAACCGTTTTTCATGTAAATTCTCATGAATTTGGTAAACAAGTTACAAACGAGTTAAATATGACACATTTAGTTAAATCAACAAACACATATTTTAAACAAAACATTCCTTGACCAAGCAAGACTACTATCTTCTTCCCTATTTTAAATAATTACTTTGACGTTAATGGTCATTCATGTACATCTTTAACCTTTATTGTTTACAATTATACACTTATGAAGGTGCTTAAATCATACATGAAGTATATACTATAACAAAATAGCTGAAACTAGTTTAATATTATAATGCCTTGTCGGTATATCGGTATTATGGCTTCATAAATTCATGCAACATCTAGTACCACAATTTGATTTTGTGTTTTTTGTGAAAAATGTTTCCATATGATTGAGTATTATGGAAAAACAATTGAGATATGTTAAAGATTGTAGAAACTTCGGTGCCATACCGTCTAAAAAGTGTTGGAATATAGGGAAATACCATCCTTAAAAGAATTCATTCAAAAAATTAATTTGAGACTATGGGTGACATGCATGTTTAATGTCATAAAAATGAAAAGTTCATACTGGATAAACGACAATGCTTAACATCATATGGCTCTTACTCTGGAGTTCATTTAGCCATCTGCCGATGTTTTCAAAAGTCAGCCGTCTACTGATATCATACACTAGAAGAGCTCCCACCGCACCCCTATAATATGCAGAGGTTACAGCCCTAAACCGTTCTTGGCCAGCCGTGTCCCAAATTTGAGCCTTCACTTCCTTCCCGTTTATCTCCATCTTTTGCGTCTGAAACTCTACTCCTATTGTTGATTTTGAGTTTGGATAAAATTCATCCCTAGCAAACCTAGCAAGCAAATTTGATTTTCCAACGGCTGAATCACCAACCAAAACAATCTTGAATAGGTAATCTTCAGATTGCTCTTCTTCAGAATCAAAAACCATTTTTTTGTACTTCGTCAAGATTTTTCCGTGGTAGCTATAAAATCATATCTACTAAAGTCTCACTGTGAAAGACTACTTTATGAAAAGCTAACTTGAGGGGAAGGGAATGTAATTGATCTCTAACTCCACGCGCCACCTGAAATATTTTTTGAATTTGAATATAATCTTCCAAAGAAAGTGATGACATCCAAGTACCTACACTGAAGAGAAGTTCAAATAGCTTAATAAAAGAATGAAGTTACAGATGATAAATGTACGAAGTGAATATAGGATCTTATTTCTTCCTACGTCTCAACAAGACAACAACAAAACATGTGCATCAGAATGGAGTTTTATACACCTTTAATACTCTGACTACTTTGTCAATGATACCTTTGATACTCCTCGAATTTTTCTGCATATTTAGTTTTCTCACTATTTATGAGTTATATTAAGACATTTTATACCTGTATTTAAACATTTTTACTTCTAGCCCTCAAACCATTGTTTTAGAGATATTTTATACTAATTTTACAAATATGCCATAATATTTGAGAGATCAATAGTCAGTTGCATGGAGAAAAGTGAAATTGTTGCAATAATCATAAGACTAAAAGTAGAAAGGTTCACAATTATGTAAAAAAGTGTCTCCGTCATATAATCAAATGGATAGAAATGAAAATATTCAATTACATATAGCAAAAGTATCATTATCACAATATTGGGAGGACTAAAAGTTAAAAACTAAACCATAACGAGTTGTAATGCAACCAAATATATTTTATTGTAAATCTACATAACACACGCATTAGATTATATTGCATTATGTTCCACTTTAGTGTACAAAATATTGTCGTATTGGTCTTTTTCATTATCCTAATGTAATTTCGATAAAGTGTAGTGTTCGCAATCCATAATGTAAATACACAATGTATGAGGATGTGTTTTCCCATCCAAACTCATGGGCCAAATCTCAGATAGAGTATATTCTCGTGAACTTAGTTGTAGTTTTTCGTCATGTGATTAACAAGTAGGTATATATATATATGTTTAGTGAATTCACAACTCATGAAGTTGTCAAATGTTTTAAATGAAACTCATCATATAATTGAAGATTGAGATTATTTTCATTTGGAAATACTTAAATATAATAAATAAACTCGTATTTTGAACATTGAACAAATTTAACTCTTTTCACAAAAATGAGTAAGCTTAAGTTTTTTATGATGTTAAAAAGTGTAAGATTTAATTATATTTTCAATTCATATTAAGTTGTGCTTTATATAGATCTCAAGGAAGACGAAGTGTTGACGCCCCCCCCCCCCCCCCCCCCCCCCGCGCGCCTCCCGAACCACCACCTTGGGGCGATTGTGGAACCAAGGATCGGAGGTCGACGTTTCTCGGGGTTGGAATTGGTCACCCGTACTTTTGTGCTTTATTTTTCGTCTAAGTTTTATTTTTTGCTACGTTGTACTCTTTTATTCAGTTAATAATTGTGAGTTGTGGGTGCCTTTTGTTGTGAGAATGAGTGGAAGCAATCAGGTTAATCTGTCTGATAATAGATTCAAAGCTCTCGCATGTTCGGCGACTAGTCTCTCTCATTTTTGGGTGGTCAATTCCATGTCTGATCAGAGAGTGAGAGAACCTATTGACTATACGAAGTCTGGGGGGCTTGGTTTATTAATGTTGTTGGGATGTTTGACTCTATGAATTTATTATAAGCTTTTTCCTTTCAAGAAATTATTATTATTATTATTATTATTATTATTATTAGGAAAAATTGAAAATAATAATCCCAACTATTGCTGGTCCGCTAACAACAATCCCAACTATTGATTATTTTTGTATAATCTCAACTATATGGACCGTCCTCCATTAATTGTCCATGACCGCATATTACCTACTACAACAGGTGAATTTTAATAGAAATTAAGCGTAAAAATTAAAATTTAGGATTATTTATAGGGTTTACCTGCTATATTTCTTTAGAAACTATATGAATTTATTTATAGTCGGTCACGTTGGACCATTATTGGCGGAAGGTCCCTAAAGTTGTGATTATTCTAAAATAATCGGTAGTTGGGATTATTATGAGCGGACCATCAATAGTTGGGATTATTACAATCAATATTTCCTTATTATTTTTATTATTCATATTATTATTTTTACTATTAGCATTAATATTATAATTGTCATTATACATTATAAATTATACTATCGTATATGAGGGTTTTCAATGGTTTTTTGCCTCAATATTACTAAAAAGTTGATTATGGATAAAAAGGTGACCTTTTTAGTAATTTCTCAAAATGGGACTAATAAGCATTAAACTTACTAAATAATCTCTAGCCTCCAGTGACATAATCTGATAATGACATGGCTAGCCACATTGACCACCTAAATGGTGAGCTCCATCGATTGGTGACCTCACCAGCCACAACGATACTGGCCTCTGTGACATCGGCCACGGTGACACAACGACACCAACCACAGTGACATAGTGACTCATGTCAGTGACCACCATCCTCCAGCTCTTACCACCGCCTATCCATTGGCCGGTGACCACGATTCCCCAGCCTGTGCACTACGGTTAGCCCCCATTCCCCCGCCCCTGCACCACGGCCCCCGCACCACCCCCACACCACAGCCCCTGCACCACCGCCATTGCCCCACCACACACCACCGTCACCCCTCTCTTGCCTCAGTTATCACCAGCCCAACCCAGTCCCAACCTAGACCCAATCCACTCCTCTCCAGCCACAACCCACCACCGCCCAAACCTAACCAACCTGAGTCAGAAACCTAGTCGTCGGAGCGGCCACAAAATGGGTTCATCACCAATTGGAGGCTGTATCCATCTTATTCACCTATGGTTCTCGTCATCACAATCGCCTTACATTGTATAATAAATGAAGAAGAAGTTGAAGACAGTCATTCAGGCTATGCCTACTTATGCCGTGAATATTTTCATGCTTCCGGACATGTTAATTTATGAAGTTAATAAACTTATGAATGGCTTAAGATGCAAAGGGAAAGATTTAATGAATAAAGGCTTAAGATGGAGATCTTGGCGAAATATGTGTAGCCCTCGGGCTCAGGGAGGGTTGGGTTTTAAGCATCCCAGTTAGGGAAAACAGGGATGCAAATTATTGACTGAACCAAATTCTATGGTGGGAAAGGTGCTTCGGGCAAAATAATTTCCTGGGGGTACCTTCACGGAGGCTAAATTGGCCAGTAACCCGTCTTTTGTTTGGCGTAGTATTTTGATGGCTCAATAGGTGGTAGTGGCGGGAACGAGGTGGAGAGTTGGGAAAGGAAAGTCCATTTCCATCTGGAATGATGTGTGGCTGCCAGGCCCGAGCTCAGGGAGGGTCCGGTCTAATCAGCCTAAGGGCATATCAGATATGAATGTGGCGGATTTGATGTCATAAGATGGGAAGGGGTGGAATGAAGGTTGAGTTCAATCTATTTTAAGAGGAAGAAGCAACTAATATTTTAAGCATTTTCTTGAGAATACGGCAGGTGGAGGATGGATATTAATGGAAGGATGATTTAAAAGGTCTATATTCAGTGATGAGTTATTATAAAGAGCAAGTAGGTGATCTACATCAACCGGGTTGGAATGGTTGGACGACTATATGGGGATTTAAATTGCCACAGAAAGTTAAGTTATTTTTTTGGCAAGCAATGACTGGGATGTTACCTATAAATGATGTATTAAGAAGTAGATATATTTGGGTTCCAGTTGAATGTCATATTTGTAAAGTAGCAATCGAGTCATCCCTTCATTTATTTAGAGACTCTTCTGCTACGAAGGGGATGTGGGTAAGAGCGGGCCTTTCGGTGGATGCAGGAGGGACATCATTTGTGAGCTGGCTGGAGTTTGTTTGCAATTTGCTAAATGAGGAACACGTTTGCAGGTTTGTGATGCTCCTATGGAGCTGCTGGAAACAGAGGTAAGATTTGGCGTGGAGGAGAGATGCTTTCGTGATTGAAAGCGTGAGAAGAGCAGCGCTAGCTACTCTAGAAAGCTAGCGAGAAGCTCAAGCGGCGGGCGGTGGGACAAGGGTGATACAAATTGGCGTAGGAGAGCAACAAAGGTGGGATAAACCTGAAACGAGGTGGATTAAAATTAACATGGATGCGGCATGTGATGTTCGAGGTCGGACAAAGGCTTGGGGATGGTGGCTAGAGGAAGCGGTGGGAAATTTATCCGAGCTAGAGGGAGGACTATCACGGGTTGTTGGTCCCCTTTCTAGACGGAAGCTTTGGGGGTGAGGAAAGCTATATTATGGGCGATAGAGAATGGTTGAGTGCGAGTGGAAATTGAGATGGATGCTGCTTTGGTGATTTAGTTTAATAAAATTAAATAGTATTTAATTTTTTTTAAAAAAAAACAAGTTCATGGAGAGTCTGATGCGACGATGGAGCATATGTTTGTGCCGATTTTGTGAGATCTGTTTCTTTTTTTCTCTCTAGGGCGTTCCATCGCCGCTAGAGCCTATTCCTCCGCTATCGGTTTCGATCGAGGAGCGGTTAATTCGAAGTGACGATTGCTAATGGTTCATATGAAGGACAAAAGGCTTGCTAAGAAGATTGCGTAGGGATTGCCTTATCCCATCGGGTTCTACGCTTCGGCTGTGCGAGTTTGTTCCGTGCGAGATAGCGAAGGGGCGAGTGGCAAGAGATTTAGCACGGGAGAGATGAAGGGAGCTTGGCAGGTGACGGTCGGCCTTGGGTGTTTCCTTGGCGCAAGACTTCATCAGCATTTCAATGAGGTGGGACAGATAAAGGTTGCTCGGCAGGGAAACCAACTGTGCAGCGGATGGGAGCAGAGCCTTCTGCGTTAGGGTTTGGAGTCGTGTCTTGTTCGTGTCAACAATCGTAGTGATGATCCGGCCTCCTCATGAACCATCGCCAGGGGTTGAATGAAGTGCTAGGGTTCAAGAAATTTATTTTTTCGCTGTGTTGGTTTTTTATGGTGTTGAGTACTATGTTTATTTTCAGTTCTTTATTGTTTTGTATTGTAAGACTGTGAGATTGGTTTTGGATGACAGGAAGTCTGCAGTGATCGTCTTTGGCTCAGTTGTGCCAATTGATGGGTCACCGAGTTATATTGCTTCTATTGATGTAATTAACTTTGAGTCTGATTCGAGGGTCGGCAGTTGCCAGCGTTTTTTTTTTGTCTATTTAGCCCATATCTGAATGTTGTGATATCAATATTAGTCACCTTTCATAAAAACAAGTTCATGAAAACTCAGGTCGTAGATATGATTGATGTTATCAAACATTCGAATCATGTACATTACATTTTATCTTTCAGGTTGACAGGTTCCATATTGAAGTTCATCTATCATTCTGAATTGGAAAAGTTCCAATTTTGCAACTAAGAAATGTCATGTATTGTCGGATTTCTACTGTCAATTTGTGATTGAAGAAGTTTTTGAATAATTAGTCAAGATGGCCGAGTTGGTCTAAGGCGCCAGTTTCAGGTACTGGTCCGAAAGGGCATGGGTTCGAATCCCATTCTTGACATGTGAATGTGGTGTCTTTTTTAATATAAGCGGATAGATTTTTATATGTGATACCCATTTCTTTCTATCCTAAATTTTTGGTACCCCAATAATAAAATTAGCTTTTATATGATGAAAAGCGAATTACTTATATGAACTCTCATTCCTGACAACTTTCTATCCGGTAATTACGTAATCACCAACTAGAATTTTTGTTTGTGGCCAACTTTAATGTATACTTCCACTCTTAAAATCCACATTTCTATTAAGTTCTATTGCATTGTATGGTTAGCTATTTGGTTAATGCTATGATTTGTTGAGTTAATAAAATTTGTTGGAGTTGGTGATAAAAAAATCCATATTATTTTAGATGTTTTCTAAATGAGTTCAGAGATATATTTGCAAAATAATTTGGTTCACTGTGTGGATTCGGAATGGTTAGATAATTGTTAGGTGACATGTTTGACCATTTTCTCATTATTTTGGATTTTGTGATGTGCTTCAATAATAGATCAATATTTTACTACTTTGGAAATCGATCATAAACATATTAGTTGATATGAAGAATGAGAAAAATACCATATACGTGCCTCATTAAATTGAAATGTAAAATGATTATCTTTGGAATTACATTAATTGAAATTTAGAAAAAAAGCTTTTAATATTTAGAAATTATCGAATTGTAGTTATTATTAGTCTCGCAACTTTAGTTACTTTCAAATTTGGTCCTATAACTTTTGACCGTTTTCATTATTAGTCCCGCAACTTTAGTCACTTGCAAATTTGGTCATGTAATTAATTAATACTTCCTCCGTTCTTAAATAAGTGCAACAGTCAACATTTCACACTTGCCGAGATACAACTTTGACCATTAATATATATAATTCTCTATTAGAAAAAAATTTAAAAAAACAAGTTTTTGAAAATGTACAATGAGACAAATTTAATAATATATTTTTCAAAAAAATGTACTAATATATCGATAAATAAAATTTAGTCAAAGTAGAACATGTGAATAGTGTAAAATTTCACATGTTGCACTTATTTAAGAACGGAGGTAGCATACCGGAAAAGATGTTGCCGGCACCGGATTTTTCTGTCGGAAAGTGTACTTAATTTCCGGTGGAAAAGTCCTTAAATTACAAAGATTTATTAGTTACTGACTTACTAGACTAAATTTGCAAGTGATTAAAGTTACAAGACCAATAACGATAAATGCAGAAAGTTAAATTACATGATTAAAATTGCAAATCTCCCATAAACAAATTTATGCATATTTTTTTTGACTGAATTTATGCATATTCATAAATCGTGATAAAGACTGTCAAATTTGATTTCTATATTAGAATATGATAATAGTTCAATACATAAATTAAAACACAAAGTTGTTTTGAAGACAGAAATATAGTAGACCCGAAGTCCTGAACTCGACCCCTAATCTTTATAGAGCAAAATATAATTAATTGGAACTCTAGTCAAGACACAAAAACTATGTAAGAACGTGTACATTTGTATATGGGGATATATAGGAGAGTTATAGTCTTAATTTTGTTTCTCTCGAAAAATGTTAATGTTTGTGTTTAATTTAGAACTGTCCAAATGGTCCAAGAATCGGCAGATGTGCATGACCAGAATCTGAAGTTAGTTAACTCGCAGTTTGGGTTAAATTGTTTAATTTGAACATTTGAGTTTAACAGACCAACATTGGACCTGATTCGAACCGAATAAATTAATTTAGGAACCACTCCTGAAGACCTGATAATATCCACTATTTAAATATATAACGAAAGTGATATATATGGACAGGGGCGGATCTAAGAATTTGAGTTAGACTGGTCTGAAAAGTAATTATACTAGGCTTAAACTTTAGAAGGGTGGCTAAATGCCTAAATATGAAAAAACGAAACAATTTACACAAAAGAAATGGTTGAAAAAATTTAAGTTGTCATGAACTTCAGTCCACCGACCTATGCGAACATTCTCCCGGCTGAATATGATATGGGGATACTTGTCAACTACATGTAAATCCCGTAACTTAATTAATCCATTCAAAACAACAAAACCTAGAGCATATCTTCAAAATAGTGACCCTAAAGTAAACATATTACTAATTAAGCTTCATCAAGCTAAGTGAGGATTTCTATTCCAAAAGTGACCTATCCGTGACAGCTTTGTTGTTTTTTTTTATTAAAAAATAAATAAAATTCTTGTTTTTTAGCTGCTGTTGGAATTTTAGATACTAGCATTATCAATTTACGGATAATAACTGATACTCCGTATGAGAATATGAGATCATCTAAGGTTATTTTATATTAATTAAACAAACAAATAACAAAGCATTTTATGCACAATATAATACTCCGTAATGAAATTGAATCCAGTGATATATATGATCCTATTATATACGAGTATATATACATACCGTCATTGATGGCCGCCTCCGTTCGTCATCCGATCTCCTACAATTCCTTCCACGTTGGACCATTTCTTCGATCTTATATGATTTATTATTATCTGCCTATATCTTCTATATATAAAAATAAAGCCAACCCAACGCGGGAAATGACGACGACAGGGAAATTAATCACCCGGCCTAGCCTTATCAGTTCATTAATCAATTAATTAATTAATTAATTAACCGGCCTGCGTCGATAGATAGACTTCTCGATCGATCAGGATCATGCATGCATGCATGCAAATTTAGTTAGTTCCTTCTTCAATTCGATCAGCAATTAAATTCTTCAATTTTGTAAGATAATAAGTTTAAACCTACAAGATGGTGTGGGTAATTAAGCTAACATTATTGTCATTTATTTTTTAATTTAATTTGACCGATAAGCCTGCAGCTAGAGTGGCTGGAAAAGCTATTCTGTTGCAAGACTATATAATGGCTCACCCTCATTTTAGCTACTTAAATTTTCTTGGTGGACGTACTTGAAAATAGTGAAATATATAGGCGTCTCACATTTAATTTGTTATGTATATTCGTCTTTTGTTTCAAACAAAATTATACTCTGTATACATTATGGGTTCAGACATGAATTATATATATTACTTCTTCCTTCCCAAATTAAAGTGTAATTTGCGGATTTTAAGGTTAATTGAGGATAAAATTAAATCATCATATATCTTTTTTTTATTATATACGGAGTATATAATAATTTGAATTTTGCAACTTTATAGAACCTTTAATGTAGTTTTTAAATATGTAATTTTTATTTATTAAATATGATTTAACTATCTGCATAGATGGTTTAAAGCCCGTTTACTAACAAAGACATTTTCCAGTTTTCTTTTCACTTTCCATTTTCCAATTTTCTGTTTTGATTTTCAAGTTTTTCTATCTCCAAATTCTGTTTTCGTTTTTCAGTTTTCCATTTTCAAATTGGATAACATGTTCATCAATTTTTTCACCCGATTCTGGGACTAGCAGGAAGACTGGAAGTACGATCCTGGTTTGGAATAGATCGACCTAATACAACCCAAGTAGGGTACCCAGTCCTGATTGGTCCCAACGACTAGTTTGACTAATTATTTTACCTTTTCCTTATGGGTTGGCAACACAACGGCTTTAAACTCTTCACTTCGAAAATTTGTTTTGAAAAACGGGGGTCAAACTACTAGGTCTTGACCGGCCTGGCCCAGGACTTCCATGTCGTTGACCGGACTGGACAGGGACCGTGGGTCATTGACCGCACTGGCCCGGGACTGCCACGTCGTCAACCGGGCCAGATAGGGACCGTCGGGTCATTGATCGAACTAGATAGGGACCATCGGGTCATTGATCGTGACGGGACTGCCCGGCCGCCGGCCGAACCAAATAGGTACCGCCAGGTCATTGATCGAACCGGACAATGTCTGACAGGTTGTCGACAGAAATGGACAGGGACAGCCAGGTCATTGACCATACCAAATAGGGATTGTCGGGTCGTTGACCAGATCGGGATTGCCCGGCCATCGATTGAACCAGATAGCTACCACCGGGTCATTGACCAGACAGGACAATCACCGTCAGATCGTCGACCAGACCAGACAGGGACCACCGGGTCATTGACCAGAGTGGACCACTGGGTCATTGACTGAGCTGGACGTGGACAGTTGCATTGGGTCGTTACGTTGACTGGACCAAACCAGAACTGACACCAGAGCTAGACCGGATCTTCCACTAGGAGTAAGGATGTTTTTACTTGGACTGTAATTTGCTGGTCTGGTCTTGTCTGATCTGGTCTGGTCTGGTCTGAACTAGTCTGGTCTGGTCTGGTAAGGTCTGGTTTCTTTGTATTTTTATAACTATCCAAGTTTGGTCTGGTCTGGTCTGAACTGGTCTGGTCTTGTCTGGACTGGTCTGGTCTGGGACAAATTACAGACCAAGTAAAAACATCCTAAGTATGTAGTTTCATCGCAGAAGCACTGCAACATTCACATATTTCAAATTTGAAAAACGAGTAAAACTCACTTCGCCAATTCACTAAGCAAAACAAAGAATTTCTTATTTTTTTGTTCTGGAAAATGATTTGGTTAACACATTTTCATATTTTCCTTTATTGAGTTTTCCAGCAATTTTTTTCGATAAACACGTTTTATGTTTTCCTTATTCCAGTTTTTTAATTTTCTAAAAACTCAAAAATATCTCTGTCAGTAGACATGCTATTATTGTTTGATGTATTCTTGCATAGACAGGATCTACCATTGTCATGTAATACTTCTTTCAAAAATGTAAATTTATGAGGTTAATTGCATAATTTAAAATAGCTCATTAAAAGTGTTGCAAATATATAGATTGCGAGTAATATTATTTATTTTGCAAGAAAGTTTAGAATGTTGGTTTTCTCGAATTCTAAAATATTTCAAACTATACGATTAACACCATGAACTTAAATTTTTGAAAGAAATATTATTCGACTTTGTACCATAATAACTTTTTATGTAAAGTTTGAAGTATTTAAATTACATATGCAAGTTTAAAGTGTTCATCTCACACCCCTTCAAAGTTTGGGGTATTTTAAATATTTTCCGGAAAGATTAAAAGAAAGTGGATGGCAAAGGAATACACCTACTGTTTCACAAAACAAATGCTCCTTAGTTATTATTTCAACTTTTCTAGTATATGGCATACATTTAAAGAAAATCTCATAAAATGAACAAAAAAATCAATTATATAATCCCTTCTCCATAATCCCCAATAAGATTTAAGAATCCCCTCCACAAGATTTATGTTTTGTTAAACAGTCCTCAAGATTTGCCGAGTGCATGGAAATGTGAAATAGAAACATTTGACCAAGCTAAGCTTCCAATTGTACGAGCTTTATAAACACCCAACTTTCACGTCAACTTTAACTTTGTAACACGCTTAGCTTGTAAAGTTGTAATTAAGTCTAGTCAACTTTAATTGGACTTGGTCATAGCGCCCCTCCAGCGCAAATAGGTTACTAGACAAGGGTCAAGACACACGAATCTAAGATATAGATACACTCCGTAACCTGTTCAGCCACGTAATTAATATAATGCACCATATATTATGGCGACAATAGGACAAGAAAAATAATTAGGTAGCCATATATATATATATATTCATTAAAGTAGTTAAGTAGTGCTGTCTTAATGGTCTCCTAAACAAATTCTCACTTTATTTTACAAAAATATTTATATAAAGTAAAATTTAGATTGATTTTCTGGATAACGTCTTTATGTCAAATCAAGTAAAAAACACACAAAAAAAAGTAAATTAAAAATAAGGGAAAAGGGTCAGATAGGCCTTCCTCGAACTTACATAAAAAAGGTCAAATAGGCTCTTATATAGGAGGCTCTGTCCGGCCGTCGCCATAAAGGGGCAGTTCCCGGTGGAATTTTTTGATGAAATTTTTTTAGCATCTTATTCATTAAGTCTAGTTTACTCATACCAAATTTTAGCTAAAACTTCAATCGGGAAGGCATTCAAACGAATTCTTGAAGATAACTGCGCACTTAAAAACGCAACTATCTTCAAGAATTCATTTGAATGCCTTCTCAATCTAATTGTTAGCTGAAATTTGGTATGAGTAAAGTAGACTTAATGAATAAGATGCTCAAAAATTTTCATCAAAAAAATCCACCGGGAACTGCCCCAAATGGCGACGGCCAGATAGAGCCTCCTATATAAGGGCTTATTTGACCTTTTTATGTAAGTTTGAGGGCCTATTTGACCTTTTTCCGTAAAAATAACTATGAAGTTATCTAATAAATTTATTTATAGAGAAGTAAACTAGCCACTTTTGATTTCGAAATATTTTGGTCATTAATTACTCCGGATTGTTTCATTTTACGTAAAGATCATTTCCTTTGCGAGTATATTCTACGGATACTCCTCCATGCACTTTGACAATATTGTTATTTAATACCATAATGAGTACTGTTTATACCAAAAGGATTATGTTCATTGATAAGTTATGAAGAATTTAACCTTAAATAATCTCTTAACCAACCCATAAAATAAGTGGAAGGTTCATTAATAAACTGTGAAACATTACCCTTCCATAAGGTTATGTGTTTCCAATGTCAATAAAAAGTACTACGTACTTCGTAACTCAACTAGTACGGGGTAGTATTTAACATCCAAAAAGCTGCCAAATAAAACGCATCTCTTGTTGAAATATCACAAGTACCGCCATGGCCTGGGCCATCACACGGAAAAAGTAACCAATATCCTTTTTATCAGGCATTAACGTGGAACCGTGTGCATCTAAAACACCTTTAACTAAGATCAATGTAGGTGGTGTTTGGATCTGATTCTTAAAACAGCTTCTACTCCTTCAGGGAGCAGAAGCGGAAGTTAGAGTGTTTGGGTGAAAGTGTAGAAGTAAGTGTTTGGGTGAAATCACAGGGGTTTGACAATTCAGTGCATGTTTCTTACATTCCATTCCAAAAAGTGTAAGTTTTGGAAAATCATTTTCTCAAACTTAAATTATAAATCCCTTATTTTTTCAAACCTTTGTAACTTTTTCATTTTTTATAAAAAAATATATCAAATTTCATAACTTTTTATAATCTTTCATATGACATCAATATTGTATATATAAAGTATTTTAAAAAATTGAAAACCTTTTAGATCTGAAATTTCTTTTAGTTACAAGTGATAAAATTGAGATTGAAATATTAAAATTAAGATCTCACAGTTAAAGCTTGTATGGTAACATTGAAATTGGCAAAATCGATTGATTCTGCTGAAACTAATGAATTTCTGGCTAAAATGGCTGGATTGGTTGTTTTTTTAATTTATTTTTAAAAATTATATTTAAAATATTTTTTATTAATAAAATAAAGATAGCATTGTATGAGAATATAGCTAAGATGATCTTCTACAATAATTTCAGCCTAAACTTACTTTTTCTTATTATTACACAACTCTGCGCGTGAAATAAAAAATTACGTGTTTAGTGAAAAAATTGCATGATAAACCGAAAAACAGGATCACCAAACGGGTCTTAATGTTTTTAGATCTTTCAATTATTTTATCCAAAAAAAGGTTTGGAGTAATATTAAAAGAAATAAACTCCATATTATTTTAATTTACATTGAGAATGTTTGAGTTTTTAAATCATAATTAATCGTAAAAAATAATTGAATAAAGGGTTTAGGTTACAAAAATGGTGTTGAGTGAGCAAGTGTAAAAACATATATTTGATCTTAATTTTATTTTAGTATTTGGATCTACTTGCTCAAAATTTTAGGTCCAAAAAACTCCATTAGTTCAATTATGTTTTAATTTTTTTTATATAAGTCATATTGGTGTCATATGAAAGATCATAAAAAATTATGAATTTCGATATATTTTTTATATAAAACCGAAGAGAGAAAAAGTTACAAATGTTCTAAAATTG